CTTTCTGCTGTCCTGTTTACTAAGACTAGCCCTTTCCCCAAAAATTCCCCCCTGGGGGTGTCCCCATTTTCATTTTTTTCCCCCCCCCCCCCCCCGCTGAGCACAGAAGGGAGTCTTGCATAGTGGTTAATTTAAATGATTAGCTGGAGCCATAAAAAGGAATGAAGCACTGACACATGCTATAACACAGATGAACTTTGAAAACATGCTCAGTGAAAGAAGCCAGATGAAAAAAAACACATGTTATTTGATTCCATTAATAAGAAATGTCCAGAATAGGCAAATCCACAGAGACAGAAAACAGATTAGTCGTTTCCACTAGCAGGAGAGAAAGGGGGTAATGGGGAGTGATTGCTTAGTGAGTAAGGGGTCTTCTTTTGGGATGATGAAAGTGTTTTAGTGCTGGATAGAGGTGATGGCTTCACAACTTCATGAATGTACTAAATGCTGCTGGATTGTGCATGTTAAAATGATTAATTTTATGTTTAAAGAAAACCAAAAATGATTAGCTCAGGAGTTCATCTTCCTGTGTTTGAACACCAACTCTGTCATTTATTACCCAAGTAACCTGAGACACAACTTCACATTGTTCAGCCTCAATTTACCCATCTGTAAAATGGTCATGCTAATAGATCCTACTTCTTAGGCTTAGGAGGAGTGAAAGAGGCAGATAAGGCACTTAGAAGAGGCCTTAAGAGATGGAAAGAACTCTAGGCATCATTACTGTTATTACTTTTTATTAAGTAATCCCCACTTTAACTGTATCTTGTTGAATACTGTATCTTTAACTGTATCTTGTTGATCCCTGAGTGCTCCAAAAACAGTTCCTTCCTATCAGCCAAGACTCCAGACTGCTCCCTCCCATGGTCTGACCCTTTCCTTGTCCCTGCTTAGTGCTGGCGTGGGCCGCACCGGCACACTAATTGCCCTGGATGTCCTGCTCCGGCAGCTGGAGTGTGAGGGTCTCGTAGGGCCCTTCAACTTCCTGAAGAAGATGAGAGAAAGCCGGCCATTGATGGTGCAGACTGAGGTGATGAAGCTCCTAAGGGACACAGGGCAGGAATCAGGGGGTGGGACAAGGGACCCTGGGAAAAGCAGCCAGTCACCAAGAGGGCACCCCTCACTCCGCATGCCTCCTCCCCAGGAGCAGTACGTGTTCCTACACAAGTGCATCCTGCGGTTCCTCCAACAGTCAGCCCCAGCCCCAGCTCAGAAGGAGGCTACCTATGAGAATGTGGCAGACCTTATCTACGAGAATGTTGCTGCCATCCAGGCCCACAACTTGGAGGTCTAAGCTGCAGGAGGATTGAGCCCACAGCACAGCTATATTCAAGCTCTGGATCTCCACTTGAGCCTAGATTCCTGGACCCCTGGGAGAGCAGAGGGCTGAGGTCCCAGACTCATGGGCCCTGTGGGAGGAGGGGGGATGGGAGCCTAACCTCCTGTTTCCCTAGGGGAGAGGGATATGATGGGCTTCACTTCATGAGTACTGTGGGTGCTGGGGGCCTGGATTCCTGGGTCCTTGAAGGAGGAGAGGGGTGGTAGCTTGGATTTCCTAGTTCTTTGAGGGAGGAGGAAGCTGGGGGCAGGTTCTCAAAGAAACAGGCTGCAACCTGGATTCCAAGGAAGGAAGGAATTAGGGTCTGGAATTCTGGCTACCTGAGGAGCATGGGCAGGCAGGATCCTGCTCTGCTTTTACTTCAGAAACCAAATCAGTCTTCTATAATCTGGTGTTGAAAGGAATCCCTCTGCTGAGGTCTCCCTGTACTCCACTGTGTGCATATATTTTTCTTCTGTCCCATAATTTATTAAATCACTGTTCTTCCCAGAGACGGTTGCCCCAGTGGATTTCTGGGTCTGGAAATAATACCGAGGGTGGGAGTGAGAGTGGATTCCTCATATCTAAGTCTTAGGGAAGGAATTAGAGATACTCATAGTTTTGCACCTGAAAAATGTAGGTTTGGATGGTTGAGTCTCTCAGAGAAGGCTGGGTGTTCAGAGTCTGTGTCCAGGATCTGGGCGGTATGGATGAGGTTCGCTGGAGCTGGCGGTGGTTGTGGTGGTGGTTTTGGGTTTTTGCTTCCTGGGCTTGGTGTTAGCGGACCTTAGAGGGTGATATATGGGGCCGATATCCTGGCGACTTTGATGCTGAGTCTCTCGGGGTCCGGATATACGAATACGTGAGTCGGGGCGGGGGCGGGGCGTCTCTTGGGTCCTAGGACCGGGTGTCCTTGCGCCAAGTTCTTTGAGCTGTTAGGGTTGTGTGTGTTTTGTGTGTGTGTTGGGAGTGGGGGGCAGCGATTTGGATGTCCTATGGCTGGACCAGAAGGCAGAAAATTCTAAGGCACCAGGATGAACGTCCATGGTCGCCATCGTGGTGGGGGATGGACGAGGGGCGGGGCTGGGCTTTACGCCTACCCAGGACGAATTCCTCTCTCTCTCTCTCTCCCCTCTTTCTCTCCCCCCTCTCTCTCTCTCGCGCTCTCTCTCTCTCTCTCACACACACACACACACACACACACACACACAGCTCGGCTCCGCTCAGCCGCGCCCCCGCCCCCGCCCCACCTAGCTCCCGGATCAGCACCCGGGACAGCGCCACCCGCCCACGGGCGGGGGCGGGGTCCGCGCGGGGCCGGCGCCTCAGTGTCTCCTCCGAGGGTCCTGTTCAGCCACCGAGCAGGTAGGAGCTACTGGGATCTCCTCCCCAAGTCCCATTCTCATTCCCATCTCTAGAGGGACGAAGTGCGTGGGAGTAAGTGGGAGTTGGTGGATTGGAGCCTGAAACGGGAAGATTGGGATTTAGAGACACGAGACAGGTGTGGAGACAGACAAAGAGCCGGAGGGCGGGGGTGGAAGGGAGCAGGCAGAGGAGGAGTGGGAGAGACCCTGGGAGACAGAGGCCAGACGACAGGCAAGAGAGACACAGACGGGAGAGATGGATGACGAGACATACAGAAATAGGGAAGATGCCTATTGGGGTCAAGAGAGAGAAGTAGAGACCGAGGCGGTCTTGAGAACAAGCGCGAAGAGAGAGCTCGGGATGCGCGGGAGAGACCAACAGGCCGAGGAGGATGTGGGCGGCCCAGCAGAGGCACCAGGGCAGCCTCCGCGCCGACCCCAACCCCCGCCCCGCCCCGACCCCCAGCAAGACTGGAGAGAGAGAAGAGGGAGCCTGCGTCTCAGTTCCTCCAAGAGTCAGATGCGGAGGGAGGAGCCAGCTGTGGGCGCACGGACAACAGGCCGCCCCCTCCCCACTCTCGCAGGACTCCGAGATCAGGGTCGTAGGGTCCCAGGCACCTACAGGGCCCGGAGCGAATCCGCCCCGCCCGGACTCAGCCTCTTTGCGTCAGCCCCGCCCGTTGTCCTGACAACAGGCCGTTGCCCGGGCAACCAGCGTTGATCCCACCCCGCCCAAGTGGAGACAGGCAGTTGTTCCGGTCTGCCGGTTCCCACTCCCGTCTTTGCCCATTTCCTGTTGAAGCCCTGGGGAGCGGCGGGGAAAGGGCAGAAGTCTTCGGAGTGCCAGGAAGGCGGGTGGGGTGGGGTGGGGGGTACTTTAAAGGGAGGGAACTAGGTCCTAGACCTCCCCAAAGCGCCCGCCCTCCGTCGCGGAGAGGCTGAAACTACAATTCCCAGCATGACTCGCGGCGGCTGGCCAGTTTATGTTCGACCGGTCGTGCATGGCGCTGATGGGAATTGTAGTTGTTTGTTGTGCGGAGGACTCGATGGATGTCTTGGGTGGGAGGGGGCGGCTAGTACGCCTGGGTGCCTCTGCAGGATCCCGCCACCATGTTCCCGGAGCCCCCAACCCCGGGACCTCCAGCGTCGAACACGCCTCCGGACTCCAGCCGCATCAGCCGTGGCCCAGGTGAGCGAGACCCGACGAGAGTGGAAAGAAAGCCCGGCCAGGATTCACAGGGGCGGGATTCGGACGAGTATATTCGGGCTAGAGGGTTGGAAAATCCGGCTGGGATTATAGGTGGGCATTCTGGACTGGAATCCGAATGAAATTGGGAAAAGGCTCCAACAGGTTTGCAAGAAAAACCAGAACCGGATCAAAGAGTGTGGCATGTAATGGGATCTTGGATTGGTGAATTTGAAGTTCCACCTCTCCCATCTTTTACAGAAGAGGAAACTGAGGCCAAAGGAGTGGCAGGGCTTCCTCTAAAAACATCAGGGGTTGAGCAGAAATTAGAATAGGGGTGAAGGGCCGGTCCCTGGCTTACTTGGGAGAGTGTGGTGCTGATAACACCAAGGCCAAGGGTTCGGATCCCTATATAGAGATGGTTGGTTAGCTCACTTGGGAGAGCGTGGTGCTGAGAACACACCAAGTCAATGGTTAAGATCCCCTTACCGGTCACCTTTAAAAAAAAAAAAAAAAAAAAAAAAAGAATAGGGGTGGAAAAGGAGGCAAAATTAATAGGCAAGCAAATCTGGATGATGTCAGCCCAGATTAGGGCATCAAATCTCTTTATAGTTGAAATCAGTTGGAAGGAAATCACGGGAATAAAAGGGAATGGAAATGGCTGGAGGGAAAACGAGGCCAGGATTCCAGCCTCCACATGTAGACGGATTTAGCCAGACTGCTTCCCAGGGCTTCAATGTGTGTTGTCTTCCCCACTCTGTAGTGCCTCCCTGGGCCCTGGCCACCATCGTGCTGGTTTCAGGCCTCCTCATCTTCAGCTGCTGTCTCTGTCTTTACCGGAAACGTTGTCGGAGGCGGATGGGCAAGAAGAGCCAGGCCCAAGCCCAGGTCCACCTTCAGGAAGTGAAGGAGCTGGGCCGGAGTTACATAGATAAGGTGTGGCCTGGATCAACCCCTCAACCCTGCCCCTTTCCACATCTTTGTTCCTCTCAATGGCTCACTCAGCTGGTCTCAGTTCCTGCTCCTTTCCTTTCTAAACCCACCTTATTCACTCATCTTCCCTGTGTGTAGCCTTCAACTGGACTCTGGGTATGGAATCTCCAGGTGGAGATTCATCGGACCTAGCTGCTGTTCACAAGAACTTTTCAGTGTGCTGGGGAGTCAGACACTGACACAGACACTTACAATACAGGGTGATATGGGTCATTTTAAAAGTGTGATAGAGTATTATAGAAGTGCAGAAAAGGCACTTGACAGCCTAGAGGGCCAGAGGAGGCTTCCTGGTGTAGGCAACTTATGTGCTGAGACCCAAGGGACAGAGGTAACCAAGAACAGAGACAAGGACATTCTAGTCAGAGGAAGAGCTTGTGGCCTGACATCCAGATTATGAGGCATATTTGGAGAACAAAGAGTTATTTTTCACAATATCTGGATCATAGAGTATATATATATACTGTACTCTGGAGACCAATCAACAGGGCAATTTGGACTACCACCACATACATCCATTAGCATGTGAAATAAAATCTGCATCATTCTTGTGGGCAATGAGACACTATCAGCACTTGTTGTTCTAGTCTAGGCATGACCAAATACACTGTATATATGTCACCATGTCTATTCCCTGCTTGTAGCAGACATCACTAATCAAACACTGACTCTGCTTAGCTTGCAAGTGCTCAGGTATAGCCTGAGGGATCTGTGAGCCTCCTTTGGCTTCTGGGCCTGGTGGATACTGCTATCAGGGGAATACTTTACCTGCCTTTTCCCCTGGCTTCCTAAGGTGCAGCCAGAAGTGGAGGAACTAGAGCCAGCATCATCCAGGCCAGAGCAGCAGGTGGCAGAGAAGCATGAGCTAGGACGACTGCAGTACTCACTGGATTATGACTTCCAGAGTGGCCAGGTGGGTGGAGGAAGGGGATGCTTTGGAGAGGGAGAGTCCCAGGGACTCCAGCCCCTTCCAAGAGGAGGTCCTGGAAGGGAGGCTAAGATTAGGGTTCCTCCCTACTCACTGTGCCTGGGCACCTGCAGCTGCTGGTGGGTATCCTGCAAGCTGAGGGATTGGCAGCCTTGGACCTGGGTGGCTCCTCAGATCCCTATGTGCGGGTTTACCTGCTGCCAGACAAGCGGAGGCGGCAGGAGACCAAGGTGCATCGGCAGACACTGAACCCACACTTTGGAGAGACCTTCGCCTTCAAGGTGAGCTCCTCTCATCAGTGCCCCATGCTCCACAGCCTGCCCTCGGTCCCTGGAACACTGGGGACTGACTCCTTCAGCTTTTCTGAAGGCAGCCACAGTTCAGGTGGCAGCTACCTGCTCTGGGGGCTATTCCACTTGACCCTGGGTTGTCCCTTGGGGCACACTACTAGATTCCTGGGCTGTTCCCTTGGTCCCTGGGCAATCCGATTTGGGTTCCATTGTCACCCTCCCTCAACTGTTCCCCTGGATACTCACTGCCCCCACTCTAAGGCTTCCACCTGGATGTGCTCTACCCCACTTCCTCTCTGTGACTTCCCACTCTTCACCTTGTGTTCTCTCGGTGTCCCCTACCCACTTAGGTCCCCTACGTGGAGCTGGGTGGCAGGGTGTTGGTCATGGCGGTGTACGACTTTGACCGCTTCTCCCGCAACGATGCCATCGGGGAGGTTCGGGTGCCCATGAGCTCCGTGGATTTAGGGCGGCCGGTGCAGGCCTGGCGGGAGCTGCAGCTGGCTCCGCGGGAGGAGGTGAGCATGCGTGGCCACGCCCCAAGGCTAGGGCCCCGCCCACCCAACTTTGATGGTGAATCCCAGTACAGGCTTCCTGGACGCTTAGGGCTGCATCCCTTCCGCCCGCTCCAGAGGTAGATTGACGCCCCCCTCCCCCCACCCGTGGATTACTCCACTGAGTTCTTAACTCTGGATCATTTGCATTTCAAGGTGTGGGGAGAAAAGAAAGGTCAGAGAGGGGATGGATATGGATCCGCGGTCTGGCGATGGGTTCCTTTCCTTCTTATAGCAGGAAAAGCTAGGGGACATCTGTTTCTCCCTCCGGTATGTCCCCACCGCCGGGAAGCTCACAGTCATCGTCCTGGAAGCTAAAAACTTGAAGAAAATGGACGTAGGAGGACTGTCAGGTGTGTGGGAAGCAAGAAATGGGAAGTGTGTGTGTGTGCGTGTGCATGTGTCTGGTGTTCTCTGACTAAGGTTCTGACAGTTTCTGGGCCCCGAAGGTCTCTGAGAAAGGGAGGCCCAGGCTTTCGTGGAAGGATATAGATTTGATTTTGGCGTGGAGAGAGGGGTGCAAGGGGTGTCTTTATGTTGGTCCAAAGAAGACTCCTCCTCCCCCTCCCCAGATCCGTATGTCAAAGTCCACTTGCTGCAGGGTGGTAAAAAGGTGCGGAAGAAGAAAACTACCATCAAGAAGAACACTCTGAACCCCTATTACAACGAGGCTTTCAGCTTCGAGGTGCCCTGTGACCAAGTCCAGGTGAGCTCAGATCTGCCCATCATCGCTGCCAGAACAGCACTTCCCCAAGAGGCCCAGGCCCTTAGGAACCCCAGTTGCAAGAGGAAGGGAGACTCTTTAGCATCCGCCTAGAAATCAGGTCATGGGGGTCTGAAGTTATGTTCTCAATCTCAGTTTCCTCCTATGAGGACAGGGAGGCCCTGCCCACTCAAAAAAGAGAGTCTTCTTAGAACTGGGCTTGGGCATCCTCTCTCCTCTATACTCTCTCCTCTAAGCAAGACCAGGCTTTCCTGCCCCTTGGGCAAGAGCGGGCTGCTGCACCCCCTAAGTGAGTCCAGGATGCTTTGCCTCCTGAGCAAGACCAAGAATCCCCTGCTCCCTAAGCAAGACCAAAATGTCCCATGCCCTAAAAGAGACCAGGATGCCCTCCCCGCCACTCCCCCCAAACATGGATACTAAGAAAAAGAGACTTTCCCTTTTCTCTTTAGAGACAGGGCACAGGGAGGCCTAAGGCTTGGCTCTTCCACCCATTTCAGAGTTCTGAAGGTTTGCCCCTCTCAGGAGGCTGCTCCCTAAGGAGACTCCTAACAACATCTTAGCTACGGGGTCCTGAGGGCTTATCTCCTTAGAAGTCTGTCTGGGAAGGAGGAAAGAACATCTTTCTCACTGCAGGGCTCCATCCTTCCACCTCCCACCCCCTGCCCTGTTCCAGAGCTTCTCTAGCAAGGCCGTTAGCATTCTGGTTGCAGGGAGAGGGTATCCTTACCAGTGATACCTGATACCTGATACCTGAGCCCCTTTCTGTCCTTCATTCCTTTGCCTCCTGTCTCCTTTTTCTCCCCTGCCCACCCCAGAAGGTCCATGTGGAGCTGACCGTGCTGGACTATGACAAGCTGGGCAAGAACGAGGCCATTGGGAGAGTGGCCGTAGGGACAGCGGCCGGCGGGGCTGGCCTGCGGCACTGGGCGGACATGCTGGCAAACCCCCGGCGGCCCATTGCGCAGTGGCACTCATTGCGGCCCCCTGACCGAGTGAGGCTGCTGCCTGTGCCCTGATTCCCACCCCCCAGACTCTGGCCAAGCCTGGACTCTGGCCTCTTACCCCAGACTCCTAAGACTGGCCAAAGCCAAGCCCGGTCCTACCTTTAAGCCTTCTCTGACCACTAACCCCTCCCCACTTCCTCACCCCAATCATCTGATCTATTCCTGCTTTCTCACCCTGCATTATGCCAATCATGACAACTTTTAACACCCCCTCCCCACACACATGCACACACATACCCAGAAGCCCCAGGGACCCCTGGGGGAAAGGAAAGAAGTCTGATCTCCCCTGTTTCTAGGTCCCACCATCTGCTTTGACAATCAGCGATCCCAGTCTTCTATCCCCTTTGCTCCCAATGTCCCTCTTCCCACACAGCCTGGTTCCTGCACTGCTCCTGGGGCCAAATAAAATACTCAGCAGCTCTGGTGGCCTGGCCCATGCTCCTTGATGGGGGTGGACAGGGACTGGGGGCTCAAGAAGGAACCTCATCTCCAGGCATGGGAGCCCACAAGGGCAGTGTTAGTGCTGCCCATCCTGGAGACCCATTGAGGGAAACCGACCCATCCCACTCATCCATCTTCCCCCTCACACTCTCACCCACTTATGCTTCCATTTATTCATTCATTTGTTCATTTACTCACCCCTTGAGCCTTGGTTTCCTCACCTGAAAACATCTTTTTTTTTGTCTTTTTCCGTGTCCAGCAACAGATCACAACCCTCAGTGTCGCCCCCGTACCGGACCGGGACCGGCAACGGGATCGCAACCCTCGGTGTTGCTCCCACGCCTCGCTCAGCCAGTGAGCGGGAACCGGTCTGCATGTGGGATCCGAACCCTCGGAGGGAGCGCCGCCGCACTTCCCAAGTGGCGCACTATAGCAGTGCGCCACCGGGCCGGCCCAAAACATCTTGATAATTATAATAACTTGCATGTGTGCTGTGAAGAGTCAATGAGAATTCGGGAGCGCCGCCGCACTTCCCAAGCGGCGCACTATAGCAGTGCGCCACCGGGCCGGCCCAAAACATCTTGATAATTATAATAACTTGCATGTGTGCTGTGAAGAGTCAATGAGAATTCTCTTACTTATTTGTGAATTTATCCACTCACTCCCTCACCCATGAATCACATAGATCTTTATACCCATATTTGCATCCCTTCCTCCATCCCTCTTTCCCTCCGTTCCTTCCTCTTTCCTCCCTGCCTATCTTCCTCCCATCATCCATCCTTCCATATTCCCTGAGGTCTTCTGTGTGCCAGCTTCTGTTGGATGCTTGGGACCCAGAATAGATGCCAACCCAGACCTTACTGCCAAGTGACTTACTCTCATCAAGGAAACAGAGTAGATGTGCAAAGTCTTGGAATGAAATCTCCCAAGCCTGGGAGAAAGGATAGGGTTATGCAGAGAAAGCCAGTGGTTCTGACTTCACCTCATTCTTCTTTCAACAAATGTTGTCTTCCTCTCTGTTTGTAGGAATGAAGATTGTTTTATTTGCTTCTTCCTCATCTCATCCCAGATAGGATTTTGAGTGGCAGACAAAGGTCTATGAAATTTGGCAAGAGAGCTCTCTGAGCAGCAGGTTAAGTGGAGAATGAGGCAAAAAAGAATACCTCCGTGTACTAAGGAAAGGGGCAGAGTACAAACGTCCCTGGGCTTCCTGGTAGCCATTGGGAAAAAGGAAAATGAGATCAGTCATATAGGTTATCATGTTCATGAGATTTTAGAAATTTCTCCAAAGGAATGCAGTAATTTCTCATGTGTGAGTATATTATGCGTGTGTTGTGTCTTTACAAAGACAGCATGATGTATTACTATTACTGCTGCTACTGCCAATAATAATCCTTACACCAATCTCAAAAAATAAACACAATTATTATCCCAGTTGACAAATTAGAAGGCTGTGCTTTAGAGAATTAATGTGACCTGCTCAGAATCACACAGCCAAGAAGTCAGTCTCTAAATTCTGGGATTGAACCTGTTCTGATTCAGATGATGACATTGAGGTCCCTGGTTCCTTGTCCCAGTTAGAAAGCAGAGACCAATAAGAAGTATAAAAACTATTACAAATGACAATCCATACTGGGAAGAAAACCAGGAAGGTCTGAGATAATTTAGAAAAGGTGGTCAGGCCCTGTGGCGCACTCGGGAGAGTGTGGCGCTGGGAGCGCAGTGGCGCTCCCACCACGGGTTCGGATCCTATATAGGGATGACTGGTGCACTCACTGGCTGAGCGTGGTGCGGACGAAAACAAGCCAAGGGTTGCGATCCCCTTACCGGTCACAAAACAGACAAAAAAAAAAAACCTTAAAGAAAAGGTGGTCAGGGACAGTCTTCCTGACAAGGTGACGTTTGGAGTGTGATTTGAATGATAAGGAATGAGACTTGCAAAGATGAGGAAATATAATGGAATATTGTTCATACATAAAAAGGAATGAAGCACTAAAGTTCATGCCTCACGCAGCGTGATAAACCTGGAAAACACTATTCTTAGTGACAGGTGACAGACCCAAAAGGCAACATGTTATACGATTCCATATGTGTAATATGAGGGTACTTCAAAAAGTTTATAGAAAGGTTCATATTATCTTTTAATTCTGTTTTTCCACAAACTTTCTGAAGTACTCTCATAGATCTAGAATTGACAAATTCATAGAGACAGAAGTGGATTAGTGGTTTTCAGGGATTGCGGGGAGAGGGAAATGCGGAGTGACTGTTCAATGGATATGGATTTTTCTTTTGGGGTGATGAGAAAATTCTGGAACTAGATAGTGGTGATGGTTGCACAACATTGTGAATGTGTTAAATGTCATTCATGGTAAATGTTATGTGTATTTTACCTCAATTAAAAAAAACAAAAATGATGAGGAGGACAATTCTAGGCAGAAGGAACCCCAAGTTGCAAAGCCCCTGGTGCAGAAACAGGGTTGGTGTGTTCTCAAAAGAGCCAGGAGGCCAATGTGGCTGGTGGGGAGGATGAGAAGGATGTGAATTGGGATAACAGAAGAGACACAGCCATGAGCCAGATTGTGCAGGGGACCAAGCTAAGGACCTGGGATTGTATCAAGGTGCAGTGAGAAGCCTCTGGAGGGTTTTAAGAGGTGAGTGGTATGGCTTGATTTACTTTTAAAATCACTCTGGCTCCTCTGTGGAGAATGTACTGCGGGAGGTGGGGATGTGGAGTGGTGGTAAGAGGGATGAAAGGCATTGAGTCTCCCTGGAGAAAGCCAGGATCTAGGGCTCTGAAGGGCTGAGAGCTGGCTGGGGAGGAGCCCAGGGTTGGCTAGCCTGGTTCTGCAGGGACTGCTGAGATCTCAGCCTTCATTTCCTCAGTGGGCACTGTCTTCTCAGTGCCAAGAACTCACATGCCCTCAGGAGGCAAGTGGACCTCCTTATGATCTACTGAACTCCTGCCAGCTGCATATTACCGTTCCCGCTTCACAGAGCAGGAAAGCGAGACTCAGAAAGGAGGAGTGAGTTGTCTAAGGTCACATAGATGAGTGAGGAACGGAGGCAGAGAGCCAAGGCCCCTTGGGTGTTGCACCCTCTGCTGGGTACTGGGATGATCCAGAGATGTGTCTCACTCAGACCCTGCCCTTGTGGAACTCACAGGCTGGGCCCCAGGACCACAGTTAAGTTAGTAATGACAGCAACCACAGCGCACTGACTTCTATGTGGCAGCCCCTCGGGATAATTGTTTTATAAGCATTGATTCTTTTATTCTTCAGTCAATCCTATTAAGTAGATATTAGCTCCTGAGATGCTCAGCAAGATTAAGTCACCTGGCTGAAGCCACTTGATCAGCAAGTGGCAGAGACAGGTTGTAAACTTGGGCCTGCCTGAGACCAAAGGCCACAATCTCAGGTCACAGGGTAGATTGCTGTGGCCATTCTGCTGGGGAGGCAGAAGCAGAACTCAGAGGAAGATTCCCAGCTGGGGTTGGAGGGATGAGCAGGATTTTTCCAGGGTGAGAATGCAGGAGGATGTTAGAGGAAGGGAACAATGCAAAGAATAGAGACCTGGAGTCATGAGGGGACTTCGTGTGCTTCTTGTGGTGTGCTATTACCAATCAAGCCCTGGTGGGTAGTTTGCCCATTTCCATGATGTAAACACTCCCACCATGGTTGATTTCAAGCTACAAATGTGAAGTGACTGAATAGAGAGTCGGGAAGCGATGCCTACTAGCACATCATCATATGGTATTTCCCAGGGCCTGTATGAAGTTTCCAAATTTAAGGTGAAGTCAACAACAACAACAACAACAACAACAACAAAACCCTCAGTAATCAAGACAATTAGCACCGTAATGTAATATTTTTTAAAAATTGAAATTAATGCAAAAAAATCCACAGTGGACAAAATATAACAATTTTAAACACTTGATACAACCCTGCACTTTCATGATTCTGCTTCAGTGTAATCCTGGCGATGGTTCTAATAAAACCTTATTTACATATACAGCCGGCCAGTGATTATAATTTGCCTATTTGATTTTTTAAAATATTGCATTAAAATAGCATTTCTTCTATACAGATACAATAGATGTAAGTGACCTCAAGAGCACCGATAATAGCAAAATATAGTAAAATAGGAGGTGATGAGTTTTGAATATTATTACCTTTATTTTAATGTGATGTATTTAATTGTAAGATTACAGAATTTGATATTTAATGACTGTGTGTAATAACCAGCTCACAAAATCCGTGAAAATTTAACGACTAAGAGCCAGGGCTAACTGGCTCCAGCACATCTCTGTTTCCCAACTGGTGAGACACCCTGTGTGGTACAGCCCAAGGTATGAGGAGGAAAGGGGACAGAGAAGCGTGCAGTCTAGAGTCTGAGGCCACCTCACTTTAATCTGGATTAATCAAGATTCCATTCCGTTCCGTCTGAATGTAAAGCATCCCAGAAATTTGAACCGTCCCAGACTCCACCTCTTCCAGCCCCGCCCCTTCGCCAACGCCATCGTCATGACAACCGCGTCCACACGCTCTCCTTTCCCGCACGCCGAGGGAGCCATCCCTGAGCGTCCCCACTGGCCAAAACTTTTTAGCGGACGCGTCCCGTTCACTTTCATTGTCAGCTGATCGCGGCAGTGCAAACCTGCCTGTGCCCATCGAAAAGGGCGGGAGCCTTGGGCAGCGGTTGTGGACGAGTGCTGGTTCGCAGCCCAAAACGGAGCAGGGAGGAAGGGGGCGCCCCGAGATATTTGGAAGGATAAAGGTGAGGGGGGTGTCACGCGGAGGCAAAAGGGCGAGAAATGAGGGGCAGTGAAAGGGGAATGGATGGACAATGTTTGGGGATTCCCAAGATGTCTGTCCCGCAGGGCGATGACCACACCGGCGGGCTCCGGCACGGGTTTTGGCACCGTGTCCTGGTGGGGTCTGTCCCCGGCGCTGGACCTGCAGGCTGAAAGTGAGTCCCACCACACCTGATGTGATGCATCGGCTGCCTTCACCGCCTGTGCAGACGGCCTTTTTGAACTTGTAGTCCCAGCGTCGATGGTAGGGGGGCGCACTAACGTTCTCGAAGGCTCCAACGGCGGTGGGAAAACCCCCGAGGAGCAGCTCCGATGTCCTACCTCAGGACTACGAACCCCAGAATGCTTAGAGCCACGGCTCCCTTTGGAAGCGAGCCCGGAGGCGCAAGGCCTGCTGGGATTTGTGGTCCATTGTTCTAGGGGCGGCTGGAGGGGAGGCTCTGAAGGCCACCAGCCCCAGCCCGCTGTCGTCTTGCCAGGCCCTCCTGTGGACCCAGACTCACAGGCAAATACAGAGGACAGGACCACCGAGCTAGATGTACTGTTGTTGGGCTCAGTGGATGGACGGCATCTCCTCCGGACCCTGGCCAGGGCGGCGCTTTGGCCTCGCAGAAGGTTCAACGTGAGCTGGGATTCTGGGGTCGTGGAAGCAGGACAATGAAGATGAGAGCCCAGATTCCCGAGACTTTGGGGGAGGAGGGGATTGGGATTCACAAGTCCTGAGTCCGGGGAGGAAGGGACCGGAACCTGGATTCCTGGGTCTGAAAGAGGTGGAAGCTGGGAGTACAGATCCATGCGTCCCAGGGAAGAAGGGGCTGAGGTTTGGGATTCCTGGGTTCCAGAGGCAGGAAGAGCCTAAGGATCAGGTCTTCTAAATAACGGTGGGGAGGAGGGTTCTGGGAGCCCAGACTCCTGTGTTTAAGGAAGGCGCTGGCATACAGGACTTCTAGGTCCGGAGAAGGAGGGGGCTGAGGGGCTATTGTCTTGGGCCTCCTAGGGGCCAGGGACACAGGTCTTCGAATGATTCTGCCCTATCCATCCTTCCAGTTCTATGTGCTGGAGAATAATTTGGAAGCTGTGGCCCGACACATGCTGATCTTCAGCCTAGCCCTGGAGGAACCTGAGAAGATGGGGCTGCAAGGTCAGTTGCTAGGACCCAGGCATTCTGACTGCTAGTGTCCTCCTCTTCACTACAGGGATTCTGGCATTTCAATGGTGGAACTTAAAATTTGGTTATTGCCCCCAATTTCATCGTTTGTGACTGTAGAGCCTCAGTTTTTCTCACCTGTAAAATGGGGCTAAATATAATACCTCCTAGACCCAGGAATTCTAGGAGAAAATCCACATGAAACTCTTAGGACATCGTACAACACAATGTAAGCATTCAAAATCTGGTCTTATTGTGGGAGGCCAAAAGAGATCAGGAGACTTCCTGAGAAGTAGTAAGTCCTCCAATGTGGGGAGGCAGAAAGTGATTATTTCCCGGTAAAAACAACACCAGCTTAGTGCCTAGAGCCAGACTCTGGACTCAGACAGGTTGTGTTCAAATTCTGGCCCTGCTTGCTGTGTGGCTTTGGGCTAGAGTCTACCCCTTTCTGGGCTCTTTTTCCACATTTACAAAACAGGGATCCTAAAAGTTTCTCCACCAATAGAATTCTTGTGAAGATTCAATGAAAAGTGCATAGCTCCTTGCTTATGATATAGGCTCTGTACATTTGAGCGATTATTTTTTTTTTATTATGATTATAGATGGTCATTGTCATTAATAGCCCACAGCATTCAGAATACATTGCACAATACACCTTAAGTTTCTTAGAACTAGAACTAAACTAATCTATCTATCTAACTAGCTAAAGGCATGTAGTTCTCTTCTATAAGGTTTTTTTTTGTTTTGTTTTGGTGCCTGGCTGGTGAGGGGACCCGAACCCTTGACCTTGGTGGTAGAACACCGCACTCTAACCAACTAAGCTAACTGGCCAGCCCTATAAGGTTTTTAAACAACTAAAATGAAACTATACATAGGTATATATAGATGTCGATGTGTGTATATCATATACAACTTAAGGTATATAATTCTCTTACAAGATTTTTTTTTCTTGGCTTTTCTCATAAGATTCTTAAATAGCTAAAATGAAACAATTTAACACTGTAACGTTTTAACAAACCCATATATCTTATCTTCATCTATATCTATATATCACTTTTTATTTTTTAAAGGCAAGGGAAAACTAAACATGAAATTCAGGATGGCTGGTGGTGTGGGGAGGAATAGGTGAGAACACCTCGGTTAGGTGCAAGTTATTCCTCAAGTTATAGTTATTGCGATGAGTTGGGAGTCTGCCGGGGTTCGGTATGCTGATTCTATATGACTATGAAATATTAAGATATTAGGGGTCTGATTTCTGGGCTCAGTCCTCTGCTCCTCCCTCCCAACTTTCTCTTCCCTTCCCCTAGAGAGGAGCGAGACCTTCCTGGAGGTATGGGGCAACGCGCTGCTTCGTCCCCCGGTGGCTGCCTTTGTGCGAGCCCAGGCCGACCGCTTGGCTCACCTGGTCCCCGAGCCTGATCGCCTGGTGGAGCAGCTGCCCTGGCTCAGCCTCAGCGCCCTCAAGGTGCCGCCACCAGGCCTCACTCTGGGATCCGGGGGGCGGCGGGAAGAACGGAAATGGGCAGTCCGAAAGGATTTGGGGACTTGGAAGTTCGAATCCCAGCTCCCCAACTCCAACTGTGGGATTTGGCCTAGGGATAGGGGGTAGCTTCTGCTCTCTGAGCCTCAGTTTCCTCACCTGAGAAACGGGAGAATCCTTTCCACCTCCTGGGATGGAAGGGAGGGCCAAGCAGAAGTCGCTCTCCCTGTATCCCTTTCTTCCCGCGCGTGCCTGTCCACGCAGTTTCGCGAGCGGGACGCCCTGGAGGCCGTGTTCCGCTTCTGGGCTGGCGGGGAGAAGGGGCAGGAGACCTTCCCCATGAGCCGCCTCTGGGACTCGCGGCTGCGCCACTACCTGGGCTCCCGCTACGACGCCCGGCGCGGCGTCAGCGACTGGGACCTGCACATGAAGCTGCACGACCGCGGGGTGAGGGGCCTGGGAGGAGGTGGATGGGGGGCCCCGAGTCCTGGGTGTGAAGGAGGAGGGCTTTGGGGCCTGGACCCCTGGGTCTCAGGGAGGAGGGGACCGGCAGCCCAGAACCTGGATCTGATGGGGGAGGGACTGGAGGGAGGTTCATCTGCCAGGTTCGGTGAAACTCTCTTATTCTCTACTCCTACTCCAGGCCCAAGTCATCCACACCCGCGAGTTCCGACGCTGGAGGGACACAGGTGTCGCCTTTGAACTCAGAGACTCCAGCGCCTACCACGTGCCCAACAGGACCCTGGCGTCCGGTCGCCTCCTGAGTCACGTGGGTCCATTCCCTGCCCTACTCCTTATTGGGGACCCTGACTCTTGGGTCCCCGATTTCACCCGTCTTCTCTCTCTCTCTGCTTTCCCAGCACGGAGAGCGCGTGGCAGTGCGCGGGTACTGGGGGGACATTGCCACGGGTCCCTTCGTGGCCTTTGGCATCGAAACGGACGACGAGAGCCTCCTGCAGACCAGCAACGGACAGCCGGTCAAGGTGTGCGACAGGCGGTGCTGGGGCTGGGGCTGGGGCGGGCGCCCGAGGCCCCGCCCTCCGCTTTCCAGGCCTCGCCCCTATGTTGGTGAGGCGCCCGCACCCCAGTAACAGGCCCCGTCCCCGAATTTCTGGGTCCCGCCCCACTTCTACGTCCTGAGAATCCCAACCATGCCCGGAGTTCCAGCCCCGACCGCCCCCGCCATCCTGGTCGCGCACCAGCGGTCCGAGCCCCAGTGTCTGGCCTTGCCCCCTCTTCTGCACAGACGGCGGGCGAGATCACACAGCACAACGTGACAGAGCTGTTACGCGAGATGGCCGTCTGGGGGCGCCCGAGAGCCGCCCAGGGCTACCCCGTGGGGGAGCAGCCCCTCCAGGACCGAACCGCGGAGCCACGCCCTTCAGGTAAGCCGCGGACTTCAGGCTCCAGGTATTCCAAATTCGAGCGCGGACTGGTGCGGCTTGCAATGCCGGGGCATATCTACTCGATGTCCTCTTTTTCTCTCTTTTCTTTGTTTCTGCCTTTCCTAAATCCTGACAGCATTCTTAAGATTCTGAATTCCAGTAGTAGAATTTCTTTCTTTTTTTTTTTTTTTGTCTTTTTTTCGTGACCGGCAACGGATCGCAACCCTCAGTGTCGCGCCCGTACCGGACCGGGACCGGCAACGGGATCGCAACCCTCAGTGTTGCGCCCGCACCTCGCTCAGCCAGTGAGCGGCTGGTCTGTATGTGGGATCCGAACCCTCGGCGGGAGCGCCACCGCGCTCTCAAGGGGCGCACTGTAGCAGTGCACCACTGGGCTGGCCCCCAGTAGTAGAATTTCAATGCAACCTGCAGAAGTCTAAACTGGCCGGACACATTGTAACAAGGTGCTGGGTCTCAGCCCCTCTTTCGACACTGCCCAGTCCCAACCCGGATTCCGGCTGTGCCTCCTTCTCAGCCTCCCCGCCCCCCACCTGGCGCTCCTTGGGAGTCTGTCCCACTCTACGGGGGACGCCCGTGTATCCCCGGACCAACCAGCCACTCTTTCGCTCTCTTAAGTCTCAGGAGCCTGGTCTGTAAAATGCCTCTCTGCCTGCAGGTAGGTCCGACCTTTCCAGAATTTTCCAGGAATTCACCTCAGAGAAAGGATGAAGAAGGGCTTTAAGAAGCACAAGGAGTGTTGTCTCCACACTTTGTGTGTCTGCCCAACTCTGCCTGTCTCTATGTTTGTCCCTCTGGGTTTCTGCCTCTCCTGGCTCCACTATCCAAAGACGACCCCTTTTTGCCCTTCCCCAGCAGCCCCCGCCCCGGAATCCTTCACTGTGCACTTCCTGTCCCTCGGTTCCGCCCAGACTCTCCACCACAAGAGCTGCTACAAGGGCCGGTTCCAGCTTCTGTATGTGGCCTGTGGGTAAGAGGAGACACACGTGCTCACAGGGACCGAGGACCATCAAGCCCGCCCTTCCTGCCTCAGAACTGAGAGTCCATCAGGGAGGGGTTCAGATCCTCATACCAGCCAGCGCCAAAAAACAAACAAAAAGAAGCAGGAGGCCAGACCTCCTGCCCCCTTTCCTCCAGAGCCAGGACTCCAGTTTCACAGCCCCCTCTTCACTCAGTGTATGGGTCCCCAGCCCCTCTCCTTCCTGAGGACTTGGGAGCCTGAATCTAAGCCTCTCCTCTTTCCTGTCTTCAGAATGGTCCAGCTTCTTAGCCCTGAGCTCGGGGCCTGCCTGGCCCCTGGAGGGAATCTGATTGTGGAGTTAGCCCGGTGAGCCAGAAAATCCCAGGGCAGGGAACATCTGGGCTGGGGGCCGAAATTGGGTCCCTAACAGGTCGCTTCCCGGCTGCAGGTACCTGGTGGACCTGAGGCAGGAGCAGCTGCAGGGGTTCGCCACCCGGGTCGGGGAGCTAGCTCAGGCGGCCGGATTTGCCCCGCAGATCGGCGCCAGGCCCTCGGAGACCTTCGCGCGCTTCTACAAGTCCGGGGACCTTGCTCCTGCCAGCATTGACCCAGCCATGGAATCCGGAACTCCGCCCCCTGAAGTCCTGGCTCCCTCTCTTGAAGCAATGAGCCCGCCCTGTGAGGACCAGATCCAGCAACTAGAAGGACGGGCTCCAGGCTCTGAGCCCCTTGAGCTACCCTCACTGTCTCAGGGTTCACTCTTGGAGGCTCTGGCTCCAATCCAGGAGGCTCTGGCCACGCCCAACAGTGAGTCAGACTCCCAAACCAGAGTCTGACCCCACCCCAAGAGACCGAGTCCCTCATCTCTAACATCTAAAATCAGGTTCTTGGGGCCTGCCCTTGGCTCACTCAGGAGAGTGTGGTGCTAATGATACCAAGGCCACGGGTTCGGATCCCATATAGGGATGGCCGGTTTGCTCACTGGGTGAGCGTGGTGCTGACAACACCAAGTCAAGGGTTAAGATCCCCTTACCGGTCACCTTTTAAAAAATAAAATAAAAATAAAATCAGGTCCTGGAGTTAAAATCCGCTCGTATAATTTTAAACCCATGCTAGAATTCTCAATTTTACTTTCAACATTCTCATTCAGCCCCAGAGGTTTTGCTAGAATTTCAAATTCCGTTTCTGGGATTCTAAGTTATATTCCTAGAGTTCTAGGTTGTCCTCTCAGAATTCTAAATTGTCCCAAGACTCTAAAACCGGCTTAGAGGTCCGACCCTGGGTCTCAGGGCCTTTGTCCCCAAGCATCCCATTCCTGACTGGGAGCTGGGGGTGTCTCCTCGCCAGGGTCTGGTTAGCACCCAAGTGGTTCAAGTAAAGAGTTGGGTCCTCTGTGTGTCTGAGTGTCTTCCCTGTTTTCAATATGTCTCCAGGTCTGGGAGAGGGGAGAGAGGAGACCAGAAACCAGATTTGTGCGTTTCCAAGTGGATTCGGGGTGGCTTTCTCAGTGCTGTAGGCTGAGAGTCTGGGACACCACACCTGGATGCTCAAATTAATCAACAAAATTTATTGAGTAGCTAACAAGTTTGGGACACTAAAATTGATCCTAAGATCGTGAAAAAAATAGACAAAATTCCAGCCCTTATGGAAATTGCTATTTAGTGAGGGGCTGCGGGCCTGGGGTCTGAAGACGGAGGCTGGAGGCTCCGACTTTTTCTGCGTCTGAAGGAGGGGGGAGGGGTCCAGATTCCCAGGCTACCAAGGTGACGGGGTGAACCAGCTGGAGCAAGGCCCGCTCCACCCCTCACGCGCCCCCTTATCTCGCATCCCGGACAGTGGGAGGAGGAGGCAGCAGTATATTTAGTCTCTGTCCTCACCCTTTATCTCAGTGTCCCCAGTGAGGCTTGAGCAGCTCGGAGCAGACCGAACGTCCTGGGGGCCTTCAAGGTCATTCCGGACGCCCCCTCACTGACCCACAAAGAGCCCCTTGTTCTCTTTTCTGCCCACCGCGATTCCCGGCCTGAGTCTCAGCATGGCGGATGAGTGAGTGAAGCTTGGTAACCCGGTACCTGAAGTCCCAAGGGAGAGGAAGGTGGGGGCGATCTCCCGGGTTCCCGAGAGGGGTAAGAGTCGTGAGGCTGGACACCTGGCCTGAGCAGGGAGGTGGAGATAGGACTCCTGGGCATGGAAATGAGGTAAGAATTTGGGAATCGGACTCCTGGGACCCGAAGAAGGGGGAACTAGTGGCCTCGACCTCTTGGTCAGAAGGGCCTCGGGGTCCCTCAGGAGACAGACAGGACACAGGCCCACCACTAATACCCTCTCCCCGGTTTCTCTTCCTCCAGGAGCAGCAAAGCGGTAAGAGCGGCGGCCTAAGGCGTGCGCTGGGACTCCCGTGGCCAGGGTCTGGGGAGGGAGGTCGCGGCCCTAGGATAGGGCACGGGGAAGGGCTGGGAAGAGTCTCGGTGGTGACGCAGACCCGCTCCTCCAACCCCAGGCTGGGGAGCCGCGCCCCACGCCCGCGCCGGTAAGACGCCGCTCCTCTGCCAACTACCGCGCCTATGCCACGGAGCCGCACGCCAAGGTGGGGCGGGGCCAGAGTGGGGGCGGGGCCGGGGCGGGGCTTCGAGGAGCCTAGGTTAACATTCATCAAATGTACTTGACACCTTGGGAAGGAGAGGCGGAGCCAGGGCCTCGGTAGGGGGCGGGGCTTTGGCCGTGGGCGGAGCTTAAGCGGAGGGGCGACTTTAGGGGCGGAGTCTCACAGAGGTCCGGGCTGGGATGGGTGAGAGCTGCCTGTGGGCAGGGCTCCGTTATTCATAGGCTTGCTAAGGGAATGGATGGGCGGTGCCTAGCCAAAGTCAAAGCCCCAGAATGGTGGGCGGAACTGCGGGGCGTGGCTTCCCGTAGACTCAGGGCTCAAGTTGGAGGCAGGCCCAAATCTAGATCTTCCCGGGGTGGGGGGCCGGGTGTCCTAAAGTCCCCCCCATTGTCCCCCTTCGGACCCCTCTCCTTGATCCTTCTTTGCACCATCTCACACTGGCAGAAAAAGTCTAAGATCTCCGCCTCGAGAAAACTGCAATTGAAGGTGAGGATGGGTCAGGAGAGGAAACAAAGCGGTGCTCAGGAGGGTGGGGCTTGAACGTTGGGGTGGAGCTTCGGCTGGGAATGGGCGGGGCTTGGAGTGTTGCGCCGTCGGGGCGTGGCTTTACTTGGGGAGCCCCGCTGAAGGAGGTGCGGAGGTGCAGGGCTTTGGATTGATGGTAACCAACCTTTGAGTGGGGTGGATCTCTTGAAAGATGGGATTAGAGGGCGGGCGAGGCATAGGTGGCTTCCCCAGGAGAGGTCTTTATAACGTTACCCTGTTACCCCGGGGGGGGTGGGCTGCGGTCCTCTCCCACCCCTCCGCAGACCCTGATGCTGCAGATTGCAAAGCAGGAGCTGGAGCGAGAGGCAGAAGAGCGGCGCGGAGAGAAAGGGCGCGCTCTGAGCACCCGCTGCCAGCCTCTGGAGTTGGCTGGGCTGGGCTTCGTGGAGCTGCAGGTACCAGCTCCCAAGTCAAGGAATCCTGCCCTGCCTGGGATCCGAGGTTCCCAGTCTCTGGTCTTGCATCCCTTCAGACTCAGGAGTACAGTCGCTATTCCCCCTAATGCTCAGAGCCAGGGGTCAAATATCGCAATCCTTACCCTTAGGAATTCAGAAATCTGGCCTGCAGCTGCCTACAATCTCAAAACCCAGAAGTCAGTTCCTCCAGCCCCAATTCTGTCATATGTTCAGGACTCCTAGCACTTTTTGTTTGCAGTTCCCTGGAGTCCGGGTTCCAATCTACTACTCTTTCAGGACCAGATGTCCAGGCCTCAGCCCCTTCCTTCCTCAGACCCAGGAGTCCAGGCCCGTATTCTTTCCCTGACAACACACACCATCTTCCTCTACCAGGACTTGTGCCGACAGCTCCACGCCCGTGTGGACAAGGTGGATGAAGAGAGATACGACGTAGAAGCAAAAGTTACCAAGAACATCACGGAGGTGGGAAGCATTGGGCAGCTTGTGTACCTTCAGGGTAGTGTGAGATGTCTGGGACTGTGGTCTCAGCCTGACCCTTTGCAGCTGCTTTTGGTTGCAGACCATAGGACCCAGGACAACTCTGTAAGCCTGGCAGGGTTGGGGCAGAGGATGAGTACAATATGGTTAGGGAAGGCTCTTCCAGCCGAGGGAACAACACATGCAAAGCTGGGGGCTGGGGGGTGGGGGGCTGGCCAGTTAGCTCAGTTGGTTAGAGCATGGTGCTCATAACGCCAAGGTTCAGTGTTCAATCTCTGTTCCAGCCAGCTGCCAAAACAAACAAACAAACAAACAAAACCAAAAAAACAAATCTAGGGGTGGAGAAACAGAAAATATGTTTGTGGTTGGGACACTGAGTGTTGGTTAATGAGCTCAGACATGGGCCAGGGAATTGTGATTTGCTTGTAGCTGGACAGGGATGTGTCAGTAGTTTTGAGAGATGAGTCTGGGGCATATCGGGGAGGGCATCGAGTTCCAGGATTAGAAGCTTGGACTGGGAGCCTAAGCTGGGAAGAGACTGGATGAGGCTGGGTACTGTAAGACAGAATAGGAATAGGAGAGGAGTGTAGGATGGAAGAGTGGGGTGAGGGGAAAGGGGAGAGAGGAGTCTCCACTTCCCTTTATGGCCACCCACAGATCGCAGACCTGACCCAGAAGATCTTCGACCTTCGTGGCAAATTTAAGCGGCCCACCCTGCGGAGGGTGCGGATCTCTGCAGATGCCATGATGGAGGCACTGCTGGGGGCCCGGGCTAAGGAGTCCTTGGACCTGCGGGCCCAACTGAAACAGGTGAAGAAGGAGGACACCGAGAAGGTGAGTATGGGCTATGACCAGGAAAGGTGGTGCTTAGGGTAGGGGGTATGGGGGCAATAATCCTATGGCTAGTTTGAGGACAGATGGTGCTTTAAGTTGGGGGAGAATCAGCTGGTAAGCAATTCTTAATGAGAAGAATAGGAGGGATCAAGAAAATGTAAGAGGGGCTGGCCAGTTAGCTCAGTTGGTTAGAATGTGGCCTTATAACACCAAGGTCAAGGGTTCAGATCTCTGGACTGGCCAAAAAAATAAGAAAACGCAAGAGGAAGACGGAGTAGAAGGGGAGGACAGGAAGTGCGTTGGAGAAAGACCTAATAGCAAGGAGAAAGGAAGTGCATGAGGGCTACAGAAAGTTCATGAGAGAGAAAAGAAATACATGAGGGAGACAAGAAGAGAAGGACAGGAATATAATAAATAGGAAGAGAGGAAGTAAGGAAGGAGACAGGAAGTGCATGAAGGAGACAGGAAGTGGGAGGGGGAAAAAGAAAGTGCATGAGGGACACAGGAAGTGGAAGGGGAAGACAGGAAGTGCATGGAGAACTTGGCAGGGATTGTTCGAGGGAACAAGAAGTGTTCCAGAACCAGATACTTGGACAGGTATCCAGAGTAGAGCAGCCCACTGGATGACAGGTGGAGGATATTTGAGGGACTAGGGACCAGGAAGAGACCCTAATCTCTGACTCCATCTCCCCAGGAAAACCGGGAGGTGGGAGACTGGCGCAAGAACATCGATGCACTGAGTGGAATGGAGGGCCGCAAGAAAAAGTTTGAGGGCTGAGTCTGCCTGCCTACCACTGTGGCCCTGAGGATGACCCTGAGGAATAAAGTTTCTCTCTGAGTTGGCAGTGACTGCATGGCTACTACCCTGGAGCTTAGGCATATGAGAGATGGGAAAACTGAGGGGAGGGCTCCCCCAAAGCCACACAGTAGGTCAGGGGCAAGATGGGTCACCAAAACAGGGCATTCTTGGCTCCTCTGCTCCACGTGGGATGCACAAAGATGCAGAGAGCAAGGTGAAAAGAGACACACAGACAGACAGAGAGGCGTATAATGACAGAGAGCCTGAGCCAAAGACCCAAAGAGAGAGGAAAGAAA